CGGGAGCGCGGGCGATAGAGCCCCGCCGGCGCGCAGCCTCCCCCGGCCCCGTGTGTCCTTCCTCCTGCACTGGCCTCGGGTGTGAGTCCAGCACGGGAACCGGCTCCCCCAGACCCCGGGCGCTCAGTCTCAATAACGTTCTTTCCAAGAATGATGTCGACGGAAAGTGCCAACAGCTTCACGCTGATCGGGGAGGCGTCGGATGGCGGCACCATGGAAAACCTCAGCCGGAGACTGAAGGCAAGTTCCACGGGAGCTGGTAAACTCGGGTACCGGGTCCTTGTGAACGGAGCATCAGCTTTTCTAGATGCTCTGCAAGATTAAACTGTGAAGTTTCCTGTAGCGCTGGCGTCCAGCTATTTCTGTTGGTGAGTATTTGGGTAAAGCTGATTTATTTTAAATCAAGATTTGACTTGCAAAAAAATACTTTGCCAATTGAAGAAGCACAAGCCCATCCGTTGAGAACCAGCCGGCAGCTGCTGGTGGCTTCGCCAGAACTAACGGTGAGCTCTTCCTACAGGTCACCGGTGACCTCTTTGACATCATGTCTGGGCAGACAGATGTGGATCACCCTCTGTGTGAGGAATGCACGGACACGCTGCTGGACCAACTCGACACACAGCTCAACATCACCGAGAACGAGTGCCAGAACTACAAGTGAGTGACCTGGAGGTGACCTCAGACCGAGCTGCTTTAGCTTGAAGCTCTTGATCCGGCTTTCCGTGATCGGTAACAGACACCCCTGTCCCTCTCCTTTAGGAGATGTCTGGAGATACTGGAAAAAATGAACGAGGATGATAAGGAGAAACTGCAGACAGAACTGAAGGAACTTGCGCTGGAGGAAGAGCAGCTGATTCAGGAGCTGGAGGACGTTGAGAAGAACCGCAAGATAGTGGCTGAAGACTTTGAGAGAGTCAGGGCAGAGGCAGAGCGGCTGGAGCAGGAAGAAGCTCAGTGAGTGAACTACAACTGCAGCTTATGGCAGGGATTTTAGGTAACAGACAAATGAGATTATAACGTGGAGAAACTGTAGATAATGCCCAAGTGCAAGTGGCTCTTTCTCTGCAAAACTGAAATTGGCCAGAAAAACCCAGTACGCTGTGTGAGCGACCACTTTTGATTCCTTGTCTTGCTTTTACCACAAGGTATCAGAAAGAATACTGTGAATTCAAGAGGCAGCAGCTGGAGCTAGATGATGAGCTGAAAAGCGTGGACAACCAAATGCACTATGCCCAGATGCAACTGGATACCTTAAAGAAAACCAACGTGTTCAACGCGACTTTTCACATCTGGTAATGCAGACACTGGAATATTGTGTCAGGTTGCTCAGAATCGGCAGCGTGGGGCCATGTAACACCGGACAGGAAAGGTGCCACAGTCCAGTCAGAGTGACCCACCACAACAAAACGGGTCGTGGCTCCCCACAGTGTCAGCCGAGAGGTTCGTGAGGCCGTGCAGACATCAGAGGAGGCTCTGACACGGCTCTTTGATCTGTTAACAAACCAGGAGCTGCTGCGCCAGCCAACTGCAACGCTCCACTGTCGGGTTTACAGAGCGAGCGGGCCGCGGGGGGGGGGGAGGGGGGGTTTGGGTGTTTGTTCTTGGGGGTTTTTTCCTGGTTTTTCTTTTTTTTATGAACTCTTTTCATAGAAAGAGAACAAGTGGTTGGTATTTAGAGACACTTTTTTATCAGAGCCCCCAAACCCTCTGTCTGCTGGGTGAGCAGTGTGCGTTCTGTACCTGTTGGTACTCAGCCCTTGTTTGGTTCCACAGTGTGCTGCGGTGGCTGTTCCTGCCCCAGTGCACTTATTTATAATTCCTCTTATCACAGGCACAGTGGTCAGTTTGGCACAATAAATAACTTCAGACTTGGCCGTCTCCCCAGTGTTCCTGTAGAATGGAATGAGATCAACGCTGCCTGGGGGCAGACTGTGCTGTTGCTCCATGCCCTTGCTAACAAAATGGGCCTCAAGTTTCAAAGGTAAATGCAACATAACACACATTTTTAGTTGTGACCCAGATAAAGACAGCGAGACTCACCTGCCCGTGAACACATCTCCTTTCAGATACCGTCTCGTACCCTACGGCAACCACTCGTATTTGGAGTCCCTCACAGACAAATCAAAGGTAAGAGATCCTGCACAGATGGAAGGACATGGACCTTGAATGCCACAGAGCCCTGGTCACGCTGAGGCATGCAGGAGGCAAACTGGCTCTTTATGAGTTTAGGACACAGGAGAGCTTGCTGCCCCGACCCCTCCAACACAATCATGTCTCACTCCCTGTCCTGTGTCAAGCCACTTGTTCTGCCATCCAGTGGAGTTAAAACTGACAGGACTCTTGAGCTGCACCCTGCAGGTGGCCAGGGGAAGATGGCATCATTATGATTGTTAGTAATTAGGATCCCAAGCCTGCACTCGCCACAAAACAAGTCACACTTACATGCCACAAACCACTTCTAAGCAGCTTAAGACAAATTTAAGCCTCACACAAGATGAAAGAGCTGCAGTGACCACAGCTGAGATGGAGTGCTCGGGGTGCCTGAAACTAATCTCTCTTCCAGGAGCTCCCCTTGTACTGTTCTGGAGGCCTCAGGTTCTTCTGGGACAATAAGTTTGATCATGCAATGGTGGCTTTCCTGGACTGTGTGCAGCAATTCAAAGAGGAAGTGGAAAAAGGTGAAACTCGGTTTTGTTTGCCTTATAGGTGAGTGTTGCTGTAGAACACGTCAAATTCATGAATCATAGAACAGTTTGGGTTGGAAGAGACCTTAAAGCTCATCCAGTTCCAACCCCCCTGCCAGCAGCAGGGACACCTTCCACTAGACCAGGTTGCTCAAAGCCTCATCCAACCTGGCTGAGAACACTTCCAGGGAGGAGCAGCCACAGCTTCTCTGGCCAACCTGTTCCAGTGTCTGACCACCCTCACACCAAAGAATTTCTTCCTCACATCTCATCTCCATCTCCCCTCTGCCACTTTCAAGCCATTTCCCCTTGTTCTGTCACTCCCTGCCCTTGGCCAAAGTCCCTCCCCACCTTCCTGGAGCCCCTTCAGGTACTGGGAGGCCACTATAAGATCTCCCTGGAGCCTTCTCTTCTCCAGGCTCCAAATTAACACCCCATACACTGCCCTGCACAGCACCAGCTGACCTCTGCTTGCAGTTTTGGAATCACCACGTGTTGTTCATAATGGGCAGCATTGCCACATTTCCTCTTAGTTTAACTGAAATTTAAAGCTAGTTCCTCAGGTGAAGAGCTGAGGATTACTAGGTTTCCTTTAAAAACAAAGTTATTCTTACATAGAATAATATGAATGTCAGATTTAAATTTTAGTACTTGATGTCATATTGAGGTTAAATGCTTGCAATAATAATACACTAATAAAGCTTTGTCTGTGATACAGGATGGACGTGGAGAAAGGAAAGATTGAAGATACAGGTGGCAGCGGTGGCTCTTACTCTATCAAAACACAATTTAACTCTGAGGAGCAATGGACAAAAGCACTAAAATTCATGTTAACTAACCTGAAATGGGGTCTTGCCTGGGTCTCATCCCAATTCTATAACAAGTAACCGTGTAGAGAACTCGTCCTGGCAGCTGTAGAGTGTCTGCGTTTCGTTGGAGAAAGTCAAATTAAGATGTCTCTTAATATCAACCAGTACAAAATGTTTACAATACCAAAAATCCACAAGACACTTTAATTAAAATACCATTATTACAAGTAGTATCTAGAAAAGCAATATGTAAAGTTATATTATTGAGCTGAACAGAATAATAAATAAAAAAAAACACCAAACAGCTATTAAATAGATGCTAAACTGGTATTTCTGGGATTTGTAGCTAAGAGTATAAATTACTGTCAAACTCCAGAACACCACCCAGTTTGATACTCTTCTGTGACAGCTTAACACACAGGGAATAACGTGAAAGAAGGGGGTGCCCTGTGCAGCAGCAGGATGGAC